GCTCCACTGCCAGGTCCAATGCAAAGGGACTGCCTGCACAGCCTTTCTACTGAGTATCAAGCCTAACCCGGCACCACAAAAGGGTGCAGCTAGTGTGTGGGGTCGATGTTTCATCAAGTGCGTAGAGCGGCGGAGGGGATGCACGCAATGAATCTAGCCTGCCCCGCTAGATCGATCTTCTACATTTCAGATGGATGCAGGGTTTTAGGGTTGAGGCTAAAGGCTTGCTGGGGAGAGGTTTGTTAAAGGACCCTGGTGGCTTACAGGTGCAGACGTTGTAGAACATGCTTGCTTGGCCTAGGTAGACCAGAAAACTTACAAAGTGTGATTGCAGATCAAGTTTACTCAGGGTCACAGCTGACTGGTTGCTCGACAGCCTGATGAACACAATTGATCCAGGTTTGCGTGTGTAGGTTCCCTGCAGGAGGCCGGAAGTCTGTCCCCAAATCATTCCAACCCTAAACCCTAAAACCCATTCCAACCCTAAACCCTAAACCCTAAAACCCATTCCAACCCTAAACCCTAAACCCTAAAGCCAGGATTGCTCATCCAGTTCCCTGGTAAGGTAAGGCTCCTGAGGACCTCATTGCTTTCAGGCACCGTGGCTAGGTGAGCCGTCTGTGCACCTTTGCCAAAAAGAACCAATCTTACGGGTGGTTAGTAGAGGTTTAGGGTTTAGGGTCTAGGGTTTAGGGTTTAGGGTTTAGGGAGTATTTTCCCTTATTCCTTACGAATCACCAGTGAGCACTGGATTCCAGTCCCATTCTACACTCCTTGAAGGGGGGTTACATAGGGCATTATATAAGGGAGTATTCATTTGGGCTATTAAGGGGAATGCTATAGTGTGTAGACTATAACCCCTATAATACCCTATATAATCCCAGTTTCCACTTCATGTTCTTCCATTTGATTCTCCATTCATAAAGGGGGATACTAGGAGTTTACCCTAAACCCTAAAGCCCTAAACCCTAAACCTTTTAAACCCTAAACCTTAAAGCCCTAGACCCTAAACCCGGCTCATTTAGAGTTACAGCACACCTTGAAGAAAGGTTGCAGGGACCACGAATTTAGCATCCCCAAGGGGTCGGGGTAGAACCTGAACCCAAACCCCATTATGTAATACGATAATATACTGTAGTATACTATCATATACTATAATATACTATGATATAGTATATTATATATTATATAATATACTATATAGCATACCATATAATATACTGTCATGGATTTGATTATCACCAGCTGGAGGTACTTGCGAAGGAGCTTGTGCCTGCCTTCTCAGAGAGAGCTCCGAGCGGCGGGCTCAAGCCGTGTTTTTCGGCAGGTGTTTCTCCAACCAGGGGTTGCGGTCTAGTTTTTCTTCTAGGTTCTTCTAAGGACCCCTATCTACACACAAAGCAACGCCTATGACTTCTTTAGAAGCCCCTGAAGAAACTACATTGCAGGCTCCAGATAGCGTTTACTTGCCAGTGGCAGGGTAAATGCTACTTGTTTCCCCCAACACTTGGAGTCATACAGTCAAGGCACCAGCTACTTGTTGGAAGGGGGGTTAATGGGGCTTACATAGTGGATGGTCTTTATAAGCTAGTACAATTGTAGGGGTAATTAAGGGGGGATGCTAGGAGTTTTTCACTGTAGCTCATATATGTTTAGGGGAGCTATCCAGGATTCAGGGCTTCGGATCTGAGGCTTATTAGTCCGAGTTTGGGGCTGGCAGTTATCACTACTACTACTGCTGCTGCTGCTGCTACTATTACTACTACTGCTACTATTCGTACTCTTATTATTGCTATTACTTTTACTACTACGGCTACTATTTTTACAATCACTACTACTATTACTAATTTTCAATCAAATATCAGCACTGTTTTTTGCTTGCATGATTAATAATTTTACTATTCTGCATCATTATGATTACCAGTACTGCTCTTATTCTGATTATTGTTCGTATCATCATTATTAGTAGTATTGCAATTAGGTGCAAGGTTTGGGATTCAAAGGCTCTTGGGACCGAGTTTCCGAGCTTGAATTACCCATTCCAAAGAGATCCTCCACACGGTTGGGGTTTGGGGCCTAGGAGGGTTTAGGGGGTCTAGGGTTTAGGGTGTTTGTTTGGGTTTGGTTTATGGTTGGAGTTTTTGGCTTAGGGTCTAACCCACTAGGTCACAGGCTCTTCAGCATCCCTGTATTGCAACTTCTAGTCCCTACGCTACCTCCGTTGCAATCCAAACCCCCAATGTTTTGACCGCTTCTCATTGTTGCAGCCTAAGGAAAGACCAAATTCATTTCTCAGTCCTGCCTGTACATCTAAAATGCGAATTACCTGCAATCCAGTCTTCTGTTTTTTAGCTTCTCTCCTAACCAGAGCATTATAACTGCCATTTGCAAGCCTTACGCGTTCAGCAAACCAGGCCCTACCTGTTCCTACGGTCTAGAGGCATACCGTGAACCCTAAAACCTGGTGCCCTACTCCTAAACCGCTGCACTTGAGCTTCTCGCTGGCATTCTCTCGAGCCCAAACAGCATCTCCCCTCGGAAACCGCACTGGGCCATTTTTTCAGCTCCATTCGCCATGGAGGACGCCGTTGTTGCAATTATTGGTTTCTTTGGCCATCGAGATTTCACGGGCCTAGAGCTTTGCGAATACTAGCCTCGGAATGCTCTCATCAGCAAGATGGCATCACAGTAATGACGATGGGATTTCCATTGTCATCAGTTGCAGGACCAGTAGCAGGGCTGTTGGCACTGTTTCTGGGAGTTCTGGCATCACAAGTCAGCAGCGTGAACAGCAACGTTATCGTCGTTATGGGTGAGCGGCTTAAAAATTGAAGGAATTGAGTAGTTGCAGTTAGCTAGATCCAAATCATGAGTTTCCTGCAAGTTGCTAGCTGAGCCATTGAAACTGAGTACCCCGCTGGTTGCAAGTACCATCTCTCCAGGCGCAACAACAGGACTTCACCCTGAATGCACATGAGCTTGCAACATATATAACCCCCCCTCTAATGGAGAATCAAATGGAAAAGAACATGGAAAATGAAATGGACTTGGGGGAATATGGGGATTTAAGGATAGATTCCCTGAGGAGAGTTGATGGAAGCCATGTCAAAAACGCTTAAGCTTTAAGAGCGTCGGCCATAAGATGCTGTTGCAGCACCCCAGGTTTAGCCCTCCGACCTGCCGTCTCGCCGCACAAACACACATGTCACAAACATTGCGCAGGCCAGCACTTCGTGGCTTTTTCGGCTCAAAAGTGGCGCGCAGCTCACGTGGTTGCGCGGCCAGCATCCGTTCAATGTAGTTGGCCATGGCCAAGCTTAGCTCGAAACACTTTCAGCGCGGGCGCACTTTCTTGAAGAGACCTGCCGCTTCTCGAGTCAAAGCCTCTGCGCGGCCACACTGCCGTACAGAGTCTCGGGAGACGAATCGTCAGCACATCAAGAATGGATGGGCCCTGAAGTTGAAGCCTGAGAATACCCTGAGCACTCGTTGAGTTGAACGCGTGACTGCTGAGGGGGTCGCGGCTGATGTGCCGCTGGGAGACATATCCCGCTTGTCTCTCCTGAAATGCAGGAAGTTTCTGGAAGAGCATGGCTTTTTACCCTGCTGTCACGAGGCGAACATGCTGGAAATGCCGCAGCCCTTGTAGAAATCCCCCGCAAAGAACAGGTCGAGGCCAGAACCCTATTTTGAGGTGTTCCAGAAAGGACTGCGATTTCCGTTTGTGCAGGAGTCGGCTGAGCTACACACCTTTTTACAAGTCTGTGAGGCGAAGCGGGGACAGCTGCCTAAATGAGAGACAGATGCTTCAAATCCTTCATAGTTATGGCAGCCGCATACCTATGGATTCTGCATCTGCTGCAGCTGACGTCACAAGCAATCGTCGCTCCTTGTACGAACAGGGCTCTTAGCTGCATCTGCAGAAGTTTCCGGTAAGCAGAACAGTCATGCCCAAACCATAATTCCGCTCATGTTCTGAGATTTGCGAGAACCAGAGCATCCATGCCCGAACCATAATTCCGTTCGTGTTCCAAGAGCATACGGTGACCAGAGCATCCATGCCCAAACCATAATCCCGTTCGTGTTCCAAGAGCATACGGTGACCAGAGCACCCATGCCCAAACCATAATTTTGTTCATGTTTTGAGATTTGCGAGAACCAGAGCATCCATGCCCAAACCATAATTCGCTCATGTTTTTCCGCCTACGTGGAAACTTAAAAACTGTGTTTTTCGGACTCAGGGCTTTCAGGGCTGTAGTCCCGCTTAAGTACATACAATATGAGGTATCTGCGGATCTTATTGTAGCATACCCAACGCCATCTTCAGTCTACTTCTGGGGGACTACATGGTTTGCCCGATCTGTAAAACCCTACACCGGTAACCCTTTTCCTCATCACCTCGTGCCTTGGCTTTTCCAATTCCAGTAGAGGATTTTTGGTTTTGAGCCTCCTGTAAAATGTAGACTGAAACAAAAGGCGCCCGCAATTTTTCCTGAGACGCCCTTACGAAGGTCGCGTTTTTTCAAAAAAAAAGCGACCCAGCATAAAGCCATTTTTAACCGTCAGGACCCCCTAAGACTACTGTAAATTACAGTCGTTTTAGGTTTGCCCATGATTCTCCAAGAATAAAACCGCGGCAAAACGCCCGGTCCGAGCGAGGTTTAGGGTTTAGGCTTTAGGGTTTAGGATTTAGGGAAGGCATCCATAGTTGATGACGTTTCTGTAGCATTGGGAGCCCATCTCCCACATGGCCAGGTTTAGCGTTTGGTAGCCCTAACTTGCGATCCCATGCTGCAGAATTTTGAGGTTTTTTTTTTGCAAAATTAGACTTGAAATCAAAAGGCACTAGTCGCCAACAAACGAACGGCAAGCATGAAGAACAACAACGACGTAGCTACTTGACATGTAACAAGCGAGTTTTCTATAGTCTAGAAGACTGGTTACGTTTAGGGTCGGTTTTATTATTTGGGGGGAGGATAATTTAAAACAGTAACTGCTAGGAGATTAGCTTCAAGTTCGCCGACCGTGCCGAAGTCCCTGGATGGCTGGGAGTGGATGTGCAGTCGGAGGTACCATGGTGGGGTTTGGGGTTGAGGGTGTAGGCTTCAGGTCGTCGTTTAAGTTTAGGGTTTAGAGTTGAGGCTTGGCTGCTGCGAGGTTTGGCAGCTCTTGCCGCAATAGTGTGTAGTTTATGTGATGCTAGTAGGTATTGTTCTAGTACAAGATCATAGCATACGCGTGTCTGATGGCAGTGGTGAATTTGAGCCATTAGAGGCAGAAAACCTTAAACAATCATGGGGTCATAACGGACGGCGACGGCTGAAATCAGCGGCCTCAGGTTTTGACATCTTTCTGTCTGGACAGGCTTAGGGTTTAGTGTTTAGGGTTTGGGGTTTACTTAGAATGTAACAATGCATATTTCTGAACATCCGATGAGTGCACAGGTAGCGTACCCAAGACCCTGCATGTAGTATTTATAGTGTCAGGGTTCATTTGCAAGGACTACGACGAGCCTTTCAAACTAACTAAATCTTGACTCTAGGGCTATTCAAACGAGAACACTCAGGTGGTCTTAGGAGTAGCAGTTGTAGTAGTGGGAGCACCTGTGATTTTGGCGGTGGTGGTCAGCAGTGCCCACTCAGTAGTGAGATTACAGTGGTGGTACTCCTCTCTCCTAACATGAAGCAGATAAGTGCTTTACCTCCAATGTCAAATGCGCCTGCAACAGATGTGGGCTGGGAATACTGCTATGAGCAGTGGGAGGGTGGCGGTTAGCATTCAGAAGGAAGAGTCGTAGGTCATTCTCGTCGCTGTCGTCATCGACGAGTAGTAGTAGCATCAGTAGAAGCAGTGGACGTAGTAGCAGTAGTAGTAGTAGTAGTAATAGTAGTACTACTGCTGCTGCTACTACTACTACTACTACTAGCACAGCAGCAGCAGCAGCAGCAGCAGCAACAGGAGGAGGAGGAGCTACTATAGCAACAGGAGAGGAGGATGCGTTGTGGTAGTCGTTTTGCTTGTAATTACGGGGGAGGCCGTCCCGCGCTACATCTGCATGTTTGGCGAGTTTATGATGCAGTGTTAACATTTGTTGAACCTTTTAAAGGATAAGTTTGATAGTTGTGAAGGCTAAGGCTAGGAGGCCACCATACAACCCACCATGCAAATTCACATTTCCGTCCCCCCCCCCCTCCCTTTGGAACTGTGTTTGTCTTTCCCTTTTTCAATTAATCTCTACGAGCCTGCCACCCAGCCTGCCTCTCTCAATGTATGTTAGCCCTGGAAAACACACATGTATCAGGTGGACCCTCCACCCAGTAATAGTGACCATAGGGAACAAGAGGGATTGTATTATGGCCCTCTTATATTCCTACTATACCATACCACTAGGACCCCACAATTTAGATCCCCTTATTGTAGGAAACCCACCCAGTAATCGTGACTGTAGGGAATATGAGGGATTATACTAGCGTCCTCTTATTTTCCTATTATACCACTATTACAGGGTGGGGGGGGTCCTCTTAAATCCTAAACCCTCAACCTATACAAGGGTGTCCCGAAACCCTAAACCCTAAACCCCTAAACCCTAAACCCCAAATCCCTAAACATCAATCCATGTCCTTGCTGCTTTCAGGTCATCGGGCGCATCCTCGAGGTGAAGCCAGACCGAATCCTGCTGGCGCCTTCTCCGCATGTGAATGGTAGTGCCCAGTACGAAGTAAGAATAGGGTAGTCTAGGGTTTAGGGTCTAGGGTTTTTTTAGTGCAGTATATAAGTAGAACTCGATCTTGGTTGGTTCAACAGAAAAACGAGCATCCATCATGCGCAGGTTAGTGGCAGAATTGGTATAATGCCCGGCATCAGCGTAGAGATCACCTTGCGGCTGAGCTTGTCCATGGCCCGGCAAGTATACCTGTATATTGGGATAATGGAAAAGAAAATGGAAACTACCATGTAGGGTTTAGGGTTTAGGGTATAGTCCCCCTTAAGTGGATAGAATATGGGGTATATGGGGATCTCATTATAATAGCAGCCGAGTAGGTAACCTGCGCAGTCTATGTGATCCTACTTCAGCTGCAGGTTGTTGTTTTTTTTTTGCCGCCAGACTCTGCAGCTAGGGGCTAAGTTTCAAAAAGATCCCACAAAGGGGTGATTACGCCCTGTGATGAAAGAAGCGCATGAAGCGCTCTTCCATCCCCTTACCTTCACCCTGGTAGTTTTCATAACTACGAGAACCCCGATGTAGAACCCAAGAATATTATAGTCCTTCTTAAAGGTACCCCCCAGAAAGAGAGCCCTAATTTTTGGAGCCCCTAAACTCTAAACCCTAGATAGTAACTTCCATCTTCCACTATCCTTATATAACCCCTGTACCCTAAAGCAGAGCTTTTAAAACCTGCTTTGCCACGAGAGCCAGGTCTGCGAGAAGACTGTCGATGAGATGCACGGCGACTACTTCAAGCCCCTGATGGAGGTGCAGGGGTTAGGGTTTAGGGTGGAGGCATCTGAGCTCTAGTCTCAACTCCTTAGTATGCCCTCAGTAACCCCCAGAATATATAATGCCCTACATAAAGCCCTTTTTAAGGAGTTTTCACTCTAGCTCATTTTGCAGGAAGTTTTGCTGTGTAAGGCCCTTGATCTGGTTCCTTTGGTGCTATTTTGGCGGCTTTTCTGATAGACGTGTTCAGTATGTACTTGGAGGGTTAGGGGGACATAGTAAGTAGGTTAGTAACCCACCAGCGAAGCTGGGCACTGAAAGCCGTGCAATCGAGCGGATAATATCAAGCTAACAAGTCATGGGCCAGAACCACCATGGGAAGAATTCCCACCCCCGCCTCGAGTAGAAAGCCCACTTTCCAATAAGGTTCGGAGAGTCCCTTAGAAGGGGATTCCAGCACGGGGGTCCAAGCTCAAGCTGTGACATCAACTGCAGCACATAGCGCGCAACCTCCTCGAGGCTGGAGGTCGTCTGCATGCTCCCGTATGCTATAGTTGCTGGAGAACAACCTGTATTTTCCCACTCCCTTTTTACCCCTCAACAAATTTTCAAGCCCCAACCCCTAAACCCTAAACCCTGGATTTCAAGGCTGGGGCTTCCGGCGGTGGGGGTGACAATTTCCACTCCGAGCTCGTGCCACCGTTGGAGAAGTGCCTAGGAAGCAGGGATGGCATGTTGAGGTTAGAAATGGAGTTTTTTCCCAAATTAGGGGTACCTTTACAGGGGTCATACGGGGGTTATAGACGGTTCTGGTTACACTTACTAAGCCCTAAACCCTACGTTTACGGTTTTCAGCATTTTGTGTTCTATGGTGTGGGAGGCCAAGAGGTTGAAGGGGCCCTGTGACTTTGACGTGGGCCTGCGTGACCTCAGTGTGCTGTGAAGACAGTCTTGGACTCCATGAACTGAATCCTAGGGGTTTAGGGTTTAGGGGTTTAGGATTTAGGGTATCTCTGGGTTTTGCCCCACACCCCTGCCAAACCATACCCTGAGGTTTCACTGCCATCAGTAAAGCTGTTACACCCATATCATTCATGGTTATGACTACTAGCAAAATGTTGCTACCGGACGTCTCAAAACTAGAGGCTTCCTTTATATGTTGCAGATGATGTGGTAGGTTATCAAAATTGTGGTCCCATTTTGGGCCAAAAGATGCCAAACAGATTGAGAACTTCCCCCCCATCCCCCGGCACCTCGCAGTTCGACCACAGAACGGCAGAGTGCGCAGTATAGGCACTTCATCAAGAGACACATGAGTAGTACTTTCTTTGGGGATACTATGGTACCCAATATAGAGTAAGACTATATCCTCCTTTTGGGGTATAGCATTTTATATAAGGAATATCTTACTAGGTTCAACCACCAAAAGAACACTACTCAGATGTCATGAGATTAACAACGCTTAACCCCAAATCCAAAACGCCCTCAACCCTAAACAGTAGTTTCCATGTGTTGTTCCATTATTCCTTAAATATCCCCTATATAATCCTTGTACAGGCCTGTATTTTCCCCTATATCTTAAACCTAAACCCGAAAACCTCAATTGTAGTTTTCATTTCTGTTCCATTATCCCTATGTATATATCCCCTCTATAATCCTTGTACAGCTCTGTATATTTCACATATGTCCTACACCAACCCTAAACCCTAAACCCTAAACCCTTACCTACACCTGCTTCTCTGAGGATGGTGCTGCCCAGTGGCGATGAGGCTAAGGCCTGGGAGCACCTCACACAGCTCATGGAGCATCCCGGTCTACCATGGGGTTCAGGGTTTAGGGTTTAGAGGGGTTTAGGGTTTAGGGGTTTGGGGTTTAGGGGGTTGAGGGTTTAGGGCTCGAAATTCTTTACTCGCAGAAAATACAAGGGACACGAGGAATAGTTTACTAGTAATACTAGTAGTGATGTTGGTGCTAATCGCAATAAATTCATGGTAATGACAATAGTTTGATAGTAATGTCTATTATTTAGTAGTACTAACAACAACGTATCACTGGTAATAACAGAAATTACAGTAATAGTTGGGTTTATAGAGGTTCTACAGGGATATACAGGGAAAATGGAAAAGAACACGGAAACTACTATTTAAGGTTTGAGGTCCTTATCATCAGAGCACCCTACTACCTTGAGGTGTTGGCGGGGCTGCCCGTGTTGTGGAAAACTTCTGCATGTTTGGATAGGGGTTCGGTTTAGGGTTTAGGGGTTTAGGGTTTAGGGTTTAGATTTGGCAGGGCGGGGGTTTGGGTATGATACATGTGGTGATAAAGCTGGCTTCTTCATGAAGCCTATGCGATGTTTCTAGCCTGCGAGTTCAGGGAAGGTATGCCATGCTGCGTGGGGTAATAGGCTGCTATGGGTTTGCTCTCAAGTAAAGACGGACAACTCTGTACTGTCCTTAGGAACTGTTTTTAGTGTCTATTGTACTTTTCCCTAAGGAAATATTAAACATAATATATTTATTATAGGTCTAAGGAAACTACAGAACTGTTGATCAACAGTGGGCATCCGTCTCCCGGAGTGTGGGATCTGGTAAACTCTTTCTTTGCAGGTAATGTAGACCCATGATTAATAAACCCCCTTGGTTTAAGGGCCTAAATATTAGGATCCCTATTATTTTATTGAGGGGAGGGGGTTTATTAATAAGGGGTCTGGGTTATTCAATTATTCAAACGCCTCAAGCTCAACACCTCTGTCAACGTCGAAGGTATGTAAACCTGGCACTGAACACTGACTGCTCCTGTCTTTCGCGGATTGCTGAAGCTGAGCCGTGGAACCTTGCAAAGGCTTTTGGGCCCTTTAGATCCAGCAGCTTTACGAGGCCTGCTTTCGGACCTCGCATGGGTCTTTACAGTCCTTACATTCTGGACCCATTCTGATCACCTTGGGTTTCAGCCGCGATCTGGTGCTTTCCCTAAATACGGAGACCCCAATATAGACCCCAAAATATTGTTAACCCTTATTATGTGGACCCCTCAAAAAGGTACCCCTAATTTTGTGGACCCCCCCCCCCTATTGCGTGCAGTTGAGTCGATCTTCTGTTGAGCTCTAACCGAGACTCGTAAGCCCCCATCAGGGTATGTTGGGTGTATATAGGGAGAGTGGAAAGACATGGCTCATATCTAATCCCAATATCTAACCTATGATATTATATACTAGCTTCCATTTTCTTTTCCGTTATTCCTCTGTAAACCCCGTACATACCCTACTATAAACAATTGAAATATGATAGTTTCCATTTTATGTTCCATTACTCCTATGTAGCCCCCGTACATACCCTATTATAATATGGCAGTTTCCATTTTCTTTTCCATTATCCCTATATAGCCCCCTTCTACCCTGAAGACTTTCACTTTCGCACCCGAAACCTCCTAAACCCTAAACCTCTACCCCAAAGGGTCCAACGTACCTATATGGTACAAAGTATGGTTTCTGTAGTAGTAATTTCCCGTATGGTTTGGGTAAGTATCCCCCATGTGGGTACTTAGGACCCTTTGGGTACACCCTGAAAGCCTTGAACATCTCAGGTGGGCCTTCCGCGTGGGGGCTACGAAGAAATCGCTGGTTGTTGCCGCGGCCTCGGTGTTTGGATTAGGGTTGATCATTTTAGGTCCTGGGGTTTATGGATTTGAGTTGAGGCTTGGGGTTGATCGCAGGGAAAGGTTTTGCTTCGCGCGCCCTCTTCCGATTGGCGAATTCTGTTCTCTGAGGCGTTCGGTGGCGGTGCCCTCATGAGCCTTGCTGGCAAGCAGTGCTGTATGCAGTTGACTACTAGAGAGTGTTACCCTGCGAGGGCCAACCGTAAGCTCGAGCAGTTTATGGTCACTCCCATGAGGATCATGATTCAAGTCCGCATCGTCATCAGCATCCGGTCCCAGATAAGTTCCTATGCGGTTCTGCATTAGTATAGTCATATTATCCCCATTATCCCCCAATATATACCTAATATATCCCTATAGATGGCAGAGCCAAACAGAGTTGAATTTGAGCAGCGTATCCCCTGGGTGAGTCGTTCTGATGTCTGGTGCGCGCGTGTACAGTCCCCCAGCATCAAATTAGTTGACTAGCCTGATTTATATAGTATTAATAGGAATAAGAATAGTAATGCTAATAGTAGTACTAACGATATTAAGAATACTTGGAATAATAGTAATAGGGACTGGCTGGCTAAAGCAGAGGAGGGGTACGAGGGCCGTCTGAAATCCAACCTGCGCTTCCTTGCTGAGGCGCGCCAAAGAAGGCAGATTCTTGAGTTGGCTAGTCTTATAGTGCCCCTTAAGTAGATAGAATGTGGGGTATATGGGGATCTTATCATAGTATACCCAAAGCCATATTCTATCTACTTAAGGGGGATTATATACCAAAGCTCTTCCGCCTCCTGCTGACATGAGGAATGTGTCGGGCCTGTTCGCCTCCATCCTGTACCGGGGAAGCAAGCTGATCTATGCCAAGGGCTCAGTTGGGTTGAGGGCTCTGGGCTTGAACTTTTTTGAAAGTTTTTTTTTATATATTGGCCATAAGGAAGGGGTCCCCAAATTCATGGTCTGGGGCCTTTTCGGACACGTCAGGGCGTAGGTCAAACCATGTCGAACGTTGACTGGTTTAAGATTCCTATTCTATGTTTTCGCTTTATGCCCTCAGCTGGTCTCTAGGTCTCAACCGTTGTCAAGCTGTTGCTCTGTTTTGGGGGTCCTCATGCAACTCCCCTGGCTGTTGTTTGCTGATCTGAGCTTGCTTCAGCGGTGGTAGGTTCCTTAAATGAGGGGACCCCAATATGGACCCCAATACTGACCCCAATGTACTATAATTCTTATTATGGGGGCCCTCGAAATGGCACCCCTAATTTTACGAACCCCCCAGGCCTGCCTTTTGCTTTAATTATATGGAACGGGGGTGAGAAGCCAGGCTAGGGTTACAGCTCTTGGGGGTCCAGCGAGTGCAAGAGCATGAGAACAACCATATGAAAATGTGTGTAGGTTTTCCGGCTCTGAACTAAGTGAGGGGAATTCCGCAGTTAGTGGCATTGAAAGTCCAGAAAATACTGCGAAGATGGGGATTAGGAGTTTTGGCGCACTCAGAACTCATTCGGGCTATAGTTAGAGCAATTGCTGATTCCAGCTACCACATCCAGGATATTTGGTATTTGCTGAGCACGTCCAGGCATCCTGAATGGCAGTGTCTGCATATTGGCATAAGATGTATTCGGACAAGACTCGACATTCTTGAGAAATATTGTAAGCTTTTCTTGCATATTAATGCGTAGATCAGATAAGCCAGCCTGGAATGGTTGAGTCAAGGTGCCGACCACTTTGCTTGCCATGCACGACGTGACCACGTCACTCAAAACGTCCATCTGCTACAACGGACGACGCTCAGCATGCATGGGGACGTGCGAAGCTACGAGCATGATTCAGGTCATTCAGGTTATTTCAGGACGTAGTGCGAAGCTACGAGCATGATTCAGGACATAGTGCTTGAGCATGTTTGAGCAGCCGCCAGTGGATGCGCAAGTAGTTGCTTGAGACAATGCCTGCTCTCCTTGAACCAGGAAAGAACAACATCGGCTCCTTCTACGCCCCTCTGCCCGATCCCAAGACTTTCCACGTCTGCCAAAAGCTGCTCCCGGCCCAGTGTGTAATTAGTTTCTCAATGATGATCCCTGCCCTCCGACTGCTAAGATTCCAGTTCTCTGGCGTGTTAAGATGCAGTATTGGGGACTTACTCGGAATTTCATGTTGATTAATGTAGGGCAGGTGACCATACTGCCATGAACATCTCCACTGAATCCTACATGCTATGAAAAGAGAGATAGGTCAACATCCCTGTCCTTCAAGAAAGCATGTACTTGGACCATGGTAGCGATAAGCAAGAAATTCTCGACAACTCAGTCTTCAGCTGCGTATCCATGAAGGCAGTGGGCACACAACTTTGTATCTAAGATGGAGGTTCATGTTCACAACGCTTGAATTCCGCAGTCAGTCCAGGATCTGACGGGCATTCCTCGCGGGCTTCTCCCTTCACAACATAGATGGTGTCCCCAAACCCTGCTATCGAATGAAGACATTCTTGTAGCGCACCTGGCCTTCAGTCATAATATGAGCTATGGTCTAAACTCCTTAAAGGGGGTTATATAGGGGATTATATAGGGAACTACGATAGGGGTTACTGAGGGGGATACTAGGAGTTTAGACTATAGCTCATATATCCCCAGGTTCTACTCAGAGGTGAAGTCCTGCATTGTTTAAATGGCTTAAGGTCCTTTTTAGAGTCATTTGGGTATTGCAGCTTATATGAGGATCACAAATTCGTCTACACTAGGCAGCCATGGTTCAAAGCTCCAACTTTGCTGTTGACAGACAGGGCACCCAAAGCCAACTGTGGGCTCCAGAACGCAGCATCCCCTTTCAAAATCACCAGGAGAATCAAGAGAGTCTACAAACACCCGCGCTTTGAAGAACCAAATGGTAGAACCCACACCTTCTGGTCCAGTCATCGCAGGAAGATTCTGATCGACGTGGGCTTCTGCCGTACTTTGCCGAGGTTCTCGGCAGGGGAGGGGGCTCAGTGTCACGCGACAATTTCTTCGTCTTGGGTTGAGAGTCGTTTAGGGTACTGGTATGCCGTTCGGATGTGGGGATGGATGTGTAGGGCTCGCTGTCAGGGAAAGGAGGGTGTGTATTGACAAGCAATGCAGGCTCGCGATGACCCATGTTGGCTCCTGGCGCAGTCCTTGTTGACATGCACCACGTCCCCCCGGCTCCTGCAACTGTATAGCTACGAGGTTCCTGAAAATCATTGTTACTGTCTCTTACCAACAATCCTATTTGTTTAGCTGAAATTATAATTTCTACTGGGGTTCCAAATTCCTTAGAGATAGTACATCAGCCAATGTTTGAATTCCCTCCATCAGACGCTACGCAAACAAACGCTTGTAATTGTACTGGTAGGAAAACTCATGGCATTCATGATTTCAAGGCAGCAGAAGCTGCACCATGTTGACGAGTGTGCATATTCCACTTCCTCTAGACATCTTGTACTTCGTGCAATATGGTAGTTTCCCAAAAGAGGGGGACCCCAATATAGACCCTAATATACTGTAGTCCTTATTATGGGGACCCCCAAAAAGGTACCCCTAATTTACGGAAACTCCCATATAGTTAGGGGAATTGGTTCAAGACCCTGAGCAGGCTGATCAAATGATACGAAGCAAGCGGCAGAGAAAGCAAGCTGCAATGCTCTAAAGTTCTTTTCCGGAAAAATGTGGGAGCTTCATGAAGATCCCAAAGAGATTCCTAAGAGGTCTCTACTTGGAGCATCAGGTGAACTTAGTACTACAAACCAGAATACGCCTAGGTATTCCCACTATTAACATAGTCCCCTCGACCCTTCAAGTAGGCTCCCTGATCGCAAGTTCGGTTGAACAGCTCTCATTGGGGGCCACTTGGGTCAGAGGACCTGGCCCTGTCATTATATTATCAGTAGTATTACCATTACTGTATTATTGCTATCGTTATTACTGTTTTTTTATTGTTATTATTATTAGTATTACTATTCTGATTATGATTATTAATACTATCAACATTTTTCTTATTACTATAGTGTTGTCATTGTCACTAGTTGTCTTACTTTTCGTATTGCTAGTAGGGTGTAGGGAGAATCATGAATCATGGTCGACCTTCCCGTGAGTTCCCACCACTTCGGCTTAAAGTAGGCCGCAAAACCTAGCTGGCAATGAAGAAATGGATCCCTGTAATTTCTGTGTTCGTTTCCATTCCTTCTTTGCCCACTCACCACCTAAAGCCTACGCAAAGCCCCAAAAGTTAGAGCAGTTTCCACTTTCTTGTCCATTCGCACCTGTAAGCTTTATTTGGATCCTAAATCCTACACTCAAAACCCTACGCCCTAAACCCTATGCCGTAAACCCTAAGCCCTACATCCTACAGGGCGGAACTCTTCTCCGGCCTTGGCGAGCTTGCGAAGAACGCGGCGTGGAGGGCTTACAGCTCTACAGTGGAGGGGTGCTTATCCAAGCTATGTCAATATGAGGGTAATTACGGGAGCAGTAAGGCTAGACATAGGTAAGTGCTTAACGGTTTGGGGTCATAACTGGGGCTTCAAACTTATTGATTTGGCTCTTGATTTTGTGGCTTTCTGATTTCAACCCCGTTTGGGGTCCTCCCTAGTTATCTTCTTGGGAGATCTCAGGCTGAAATTAGGATGGTTTTCTGGTTTGGGGTTAACAGTCAGAAGTAATGAGTCGTAAGTAAGATGCAGTAAATAAGTACTAGTATAGGTAAGAGTCATAGTCCTGAGAATCGTAACGGTAATGGTCATGGCGGTTGCAGGTGTAGTAGTTAGTAGTAGTAGGAGGAGTAGTAGTAGTAGTAGTAGTAGCAGCAGCAGTAGCAGTAGTAGTAGTAGTAGTAGCAGTAGTAGTAGTAGTAGTAGTGGTAGCAGCAATCATAGTAGTATTGGTACTAATTTCAGTATTAGTATGCGTACCAGTATCTATATTGGTATTCGTATTCGTATTATTATTAGTAGTAGAAGTAGTAGACGAGTAGTAGAGTAGTACTAGAATGCAGAATCATAATCGGAAGAGTAGCAACAGTAAGACGTAGGGTTGGTTTAGGTTTTAGGGTTGGGAGTTTGGGGTTTGCGGCAGCTGGCGTTTTTTTGCCTTGGGCTTATGTTACTTATGTTCATATGAGATAAGAGTTCAAGTGTTTGCGTACTGGAAGCTTCTGGCCGATTGGACCAGGAAGGTCCAAATCCAATCTAGGGAGTCATGTGTCTGGGAAGCTTCAGCCAAAACACTCTATCCCACGTTCTTGGCGCGAAAAATCCTGATACCCCAAAGCCTAAACCCTACATCCCAAACCACACCTCAAACTTTAGCCCTACACTCTACCTCTCCGCAAGCTATCGTGTAGTTGATCCAAATTCCTGTTCCCAAAATGGCCATTACGGACAATAGTTTTCCCGATATTTTTCCTCATAGACCTGGACCTTTAGATCAGCCCCCTTTCTCGCCCACCTCTTTAAAACCCTATAATCCCAGCTTCCCTGTTATTTTCAATTTTCTTCTACATTTGATTCTCTGTCAGTGGGGTAAACATCCTGTATCCCCTATTCAAGAAGTATTATAGTAGCTTTCATATGTACACCCCGAACAACTCCTAGGCTGCTGGGCGGAAAGCATGCTGATGGTTTCCGCAAGGCGAACTGGGGCTTCAGCTGTCGCTTCTAAGGCCTTGTGGGATTAGGCTTTCAGACATACCCTCGAGCCCAAGGTGCGGCTGCAATTTAAGGGCTTAACAGGTTTGGGGTTCAGGGTTGGGTTTAGGGCAAGTTTAGGGTTTAGGGTTTAGGGTTGGGTTTAGGGTCTAGGGTTAAGGAGTTTCAACCTTGAGGGTCTCATTCAGGCATTTAGGGCTCAGGGTGTCTTCATGGCTGCACCGCTGTGAGGCCTCTGTTACCTGAGGGGAGTCGTTGCTTCTGTCGTGCAGAGGATATGCGATTGGGATGTTAGCCCCTAGACC